TACAGAGACACAGCAGACGACCTTAAGTGGTACTTGTAGACAATCACAGCTTTACAGGAGTTTGGAAGATGTGGGCTTTGCTGGACTTCAATCTGATCTAAGCCTTGTGTAGCTTCCCAGTGGGGAAGGAGCACAAAATACACACAAAGATCCCTCAAGGGAAAGGATGGCCATAAGGACCTCAGAAGTCATATATTATCTGTAAATAACAGTGATCCCTAAAAAAATCTCTAATTGAGAAATATGGTTAGAACTTTATTTTAATCTCAGACTAATGTCAAATGTGACTAACAGATAAACAAGCAAGCAGAAAGAAAGAGTATTTAATAGAGATAAAACTCATGTTACAGCAGATCTCCACCTCCTAGAAGCTGTGCTTAGAGCTTTCTGAAGGCTGCTTATTTCAAATAGGTTACTCATTCCATTACGGAACTGAGTGAAACTGTTAAAAAAGATCTTTATAGCAACTTTAGCATCACACTAGAATGTAGACATTTAAGCATCAGCAAAAAAAACCAAGCCAACACAACATATATTAAGCATTAACTGAATTGTGACATGCTGATACCAGTGTATTGTAGAAACAACACAGTTCAATTCTGTTGTGCAGGAGAAATATAGCTAAACTTTTGTTACCTGCTCGCTGAAAATTGATTAAAAATTAAAGCACTAAACACCTCACATAGTATGAATAATTTTTCCAAGAAGCTTTACAGGCATACTTTCCATCGAGCAAGCACAGCACTAAAACTCTCTTCTGATTGCTGGGAACTAAGCCACAGGTTCTCATGTAAAGATGATTTTACTTGCTAACTTCCCAACACAGTAGCAGGACCAAGTTGTGCATCCTCCTGACACTTTCTAATCAAGACTTTTTACTGTGGTTGATAAATAATGCAAAAGTAACACAAATTTGGCTTTGAACTTTCCATGTGCTTCAGTTGTTTAGGCACAATATAATTTTGCATATCCATTTGGAAGTTAAATTTGTCTGGGCCATCACAGAAATGAAATCACAAGTTTCCTAGGCACAGGAGACCACAGCAGGATAGAGATACTTTGCTATTGAGCCTCTGCCTGATTTAGTAATACTTAGTTACTAAGCTCTGATGTTGGAGCATCTTTTGTGTTCCTGCCTGTTCCTTTTCTTGCTTTCTGCTGCACTGCCCTGGAGCAAATTGGTTATGGGAACAGCTATTTACAAGCTATCAGGCAAAGTCAAGTTTTGGGTGAAGAAAACCCAAACATCATGTAGGGTCCATTCATGTAAAATGAACATGTTGAAGCCTTCCAGTTCACCCCTACTAGGGCAGGATAGGAGTGGTGATTTCTAGCAATAATGTAAGTTATTTTTTTCTATGACTCTAGTAAAGACATTGTTGCAATAGAATAATAAATCATAAGGTGCTTCATTATGCCTCAGTAACTGACAATGAAACTTCCAAACCATAATATTTATATGTTTAATAAATAGATACTTACTTTGCATTTCTTAATAATTCAGGACAACTTGCATAATTAATATGCATTGATGCATCATTTTCATATATAAATTCAGTGTACATGACAGTCTGAGCATCAGTAAAATAAAACTATTAGCTTTCCTAATTGTCACTGAATGCTTTTATCAAATGTACTGAGTCCCCAGAGTCTGATTTCAAAGAACAGGATTCCTTTCAGACCACATCAGGAAAGAGCACCTGATTCTGATTGTTTTTGAAGCAGAAATGATATGGCAATCCATGATCTGATGACCATAACAGTCTTTGCAGAATTATAGCTACTTTTTGAACTCATGGAAATTTTGGAAGTGCTCCAGTAAAGATTTACCAGAAGAAGGTATTTTTAAAATTTGATGCTGTCTAAACCTTTGTGGAACATTGTATGCCACAACTGGAATGAAATAATATATTTAAAGCTAAAACATATATGAAAAAAAGATCATACATAAATCCACTGTTTTAGGAAAAAAACATCGTTTTTCTAAACTTGCTTATTAAACTTATAAACAATATGTTAAAATCTAGCTTAAGATTAAAATAATTTTAGAGATGAAGCTTTCACATTTTTTATAATTATGCCTATAATAACCAGGTGGAAGTTATGAGCTTGTCTTGCAAATGACATTATGGATTCACAAATTAAAATGAATATAAATGGCAAAGAAAATAGCATTGAGAGTTAATGTTTCCTAACTGAATAAGCAATCCTGTTTCAGAACACTGTTTAGCTAACAGATTTTCTGCTAATATTATTTGTGAATTGGTGCATGCTCAGTACATACAATGGTGCAGTCACAGGAAGCTGGGAAATTAGTGAACCCTGGTGTCCTACAGATTTGTAGGACATTCCCCATGACCTCCTCACCACGCAGGTGATGCGATGTGCAGGAGCTGGTTGTCCAGACATGGCCAGACAATGGCGTAATGGCTGAATTTTGCCAGCTTTGCCCTGAGTGTGGGTGTTAGTTTGGGTCTCCCTCCTTTAGCCTGGAGATAATTTTCATAAAACTTAATTAGCTTTTAGACCATTTGTAGTTGAAATGGCCAGCTTTGTCAGAATTACAGGGGGAGAATTGAAAGGTGGCCATACAGTGCAATCTCATAAGCATTTTTCTAAGGAAGATATATGAACTGAACTTGCAAAGTAAAAAACACAGAAATTAAGGGAAAAAAAAAAAAAGAAATGAAAATACTACTTCCATTTTATCTTCTTTTGCTTTTGCAGTGTAATGTAATTTTTATTTAAGTGCTCTGATCCTGGCTTTCTTGTGGAGATGCCCTGTTCTCTTTCCGGATAAACAATGGCTCTCTATTTTATTTATTCCTCTTGGCTTTTCCACTGTGTCTCATGGGCTCCCTTCCCAAAGACAAAATCCTTCTCTTCTCAAGGCATCCATGAAAATGAGTGTTCTGTCTCCTCCAGAATTTCATGAGGTACATGAATCATCTGAAAAATAATCCCAGATGCATAAGCATAAAACAGAGCCCTGGGAAAACCTCATTTGGGCCAAAAGCACAGTTCTCCCTTACTTCAGCTGCAGCTGGGAATACTCCATGTTTACTAAAAGTTGGATAAAGGAACTCAAATGTGGAACCCAGGAGAAATTAGGCAGCAACTGAAGCAAGCCTAACGTGGCTTGCCAGCATCACACAAGGATGTAGGTACAGCTATCATTTCTCCTGGGCACCATACAGCTGCCTAACCATTCTTTTTATTTGTCTCCACAGTCTTCTGTATTGCTTCACCTTTTTCAAATTCTGCATTAAATACAGTGACTGTTTTAGAGAGTTTGAGTCTTTTTCAGGGCTTTGATTTATATTGCAACAGGGTCCTTTGCAACACATAATTAGCTGATGTCTCAAGAGGAGTGTGACTTGAGATACAGTGATATTATTGTGATATAGTTGTGATGAAGTCAATCTGCTTTAAGATCAGAAACATCCCAGTTATCTGCCTCACAGTGCTGATCCAGGAACTAATTTTGCTGGGTTGTTGGTGTTGAAAAAGTTTTGACAGGCTGACTTTGTGCCAAATAAATAAAATTAATCTTGCCTTAATGCAAGATTATATATGTAACATAAATGTAGCATAAATTCTGTATCAGGCACAGGAATTTGATTGCAGGTTTGTACTTAATCCACGTTATAATTTTTAGTTTTGAATGGTTTCATGGTACAGGGGTATTACATTAAAGATCCAGTCCCTAGCCAAGAGGAAAATAATTTCAGGGGATACTCTGCTATCTTGCCCCATTACACCATGATGAGTATGGATTGGAAATGCAAAGGTTCAATAATTTATTTTTTGCAATGGGGATCTAATTAAACATAAGGAAAACTGAAATTTTTGAGAAGCTGATAAGGGCACAAAAGAGCCCATCCAGAATTCATCTTTTGCTATAAATCTTGAAAGCGTAAAGCTTTATACCAACAAAGAAATTAAAAAAAAGTGTGGCTTAGTTAGAAAAAATTAAAGCATTTCCTCCAAAAGTCATTCTTGGAAATGGCTAAATTGTTTTAGCTGAAATGTTCTAAAACAAACAGCATGATGTTCCCCAGCATGGAAACTTGAAGTGCAAGTGGTTGCTCTTTGGCAAAATTATAAGCAATTTAAAACCTAAAAATAGAAAGTGACATTCAGTCCTAGACAAAGATGGCATCATGAACTCTGCCCAGCTTACACAGAAAACCAGCAAACACAACAGGGCTTCAAAGCAAATACAAGCTGTTTTTGCAAATACTCTTAAAGTGATTCTTTCTTTGAGATTAGAGGGAGTATGAATAATCTATTTCTTACTAGAGATAGGGCCATCTGCCTGTTATAATGAATTTACATTTTTAATAGCCATCTTAGTTGACTTTGATAGCCAGCAAGTGAAATTTCTGAATTATTACTGAAGGTAACTATTTGATTTATCAGCATAATTAATCTTCAGATAAGCCACTTATTCTGCTTTCAGTATTCATGTGCATATTCTTATGAGTACCTAGAGTTTAAAACATGAAAATATATGTAGCAGTAATTCTATGTGGATAGAATTTTTTGTCTGTAAGTCAAAAATGTTGTGTCTTTTCTGAGAAATGTCCCTTTCACGCTTACATTGCAACAGCTAATACCTCGTTTGTGGCATGGACCTTTTGCAAGACCATCTCAGTGAGGCAGCCCTGATCTAACTAAAGACCTGCTCGACTGCAGGCCTGTCAGTGTGACACTGGGAGGTGTGCTGCACTGTCACCTTCACTCCGGTGAATTTACATCTCCAGCACTGTGCAGCTATTATTATCTTTGATACGGGTAGGGAAATTCACTTCAGAGGGGGTTATTGCTCTGAGGTCACGTAGCAAATAAGGATGTGTCTCACTCCTATGTTCTACCTGCAGAAACCTAATTTCTAAATACAATTTTAATTTCTTTTTTTGTCTTTTTGTTTTCTTTTCGTTTCCTTTTTTTTTTTTCTTTTCTTTTTTTCCCCTGGTGTCTGTGTGTGGGTTTTTAAGATTGCAGGTACACCTGCCATGCTTACTGCCAAGACCTGGTGCACCTGGGCTGCCGGCGGAATGGAAAATTAATGGACTGCCTCACTACGCATGACACCTTAGATTCATCTTACAGCAGTGGTCAGGTAAGAGATCTCCGGCTCATGTAGTTACTGCTTTCTCTTGTCAGCTCTGCTGTGAAGTGTGGTCTGCCTGCCTCATCTGGCTGCTTGGGAAGATTGTCTCACTTAGGCATGGCCAACAGAGCTGGATTTCCCACTCAGTGCTGTGATTTTGCTGCACAGCTGGATCGAGGAGCAACTGGCTGCTGCCAGCTGGGTCACTCCTGCCCCAGTTAGTTTTCAGCTAAATTGACTGAAAAGTAATCCCACAGAACAGTGTTTTTCCTGTTGGTTTTGGCCACTGTGGGGTCATTTACACCTAATCAATAGAAACTTCTGAGATGTCACCTGTGGTAACATACAGACACTCTCCTACTTTTATTTTTAGGGGGGAGAGAGGATGAAGAATTGTGGCAAGTTTTTTGTGTGTAATTTCCTTTTTTCAAGCCTTTTGAGTATCAAAAAACTCCTTCATTAATGCGTGTCTGGTCTAAACTTACAGTGTTACTGTTTTAACTGAAAAGTGTTATTCAAAACATAATTAGTGAAAACAAATTGGAATATGCATACCCACAGTGGTCAGTTTAATCCTTTTACTATCTTTAGGAGTTATATTGAAGAAATGTCCTTATTGGGGGAAAGGGTTAAACCCAAACAATCCCAGTCCCAGCTATCATTGGTAATGCTCATTTTATTCACTGTAAGAATTTATGTGGAGCCCAGCAGCACAAATTAACTAAAGATGATGCACTGCCATTTCAGTGAAATAGTCTGAAGACACACAAAGCAAAGCAAGCTTAACGTGGTGGCAAAAGCAGCAAGAAGTATTTGCGCACAGTTGAGATAAAACCCAGTGCTTGCATTCCTCGGTGATGATCACTTACCGGTGAATCAACCAAAGATGTATTTTCTCAGAGGATTCCAAATAAAAAAAAAATTAAAAAATAGTGCAGCTCTTTTCCTTTCCAGGTTCCTGTTAAGCAAAATTCTTATAGCATATACAGAAGGCCTAAAATCCAGCTGGGAAACATTTGTGATGGACAGATTAGACTTTATCCTCAGTCCTTGCCATAGACAAGTCATACAGATTCCAGGAAGCATTTTTATAATTTTATTTTTTTAGCAGGAAAAAAAATTGGAACTTGTCGCGGACTTATTTCAAAACCGACTTTTATGAAATGATAATTCTACCAAAAAGTAAAACAATCCAGATAAGTAAAAACAATATTTAGTAATACAAAGGTGTGCAAAGAATTATAGTGACTAGAGTGATTGTTTAGGATAGGCCTGGAACAGGCTGCCCAGTGAAGGGGTGAAGTCATCATCTATGGAAGTATTTAAAAAATGAGAAGACATGGTACTTCACAATATGGTTTAGTGGCATCAGTAGTATTTGGTTAAAGGTTGGACTTGATGATCTTGGAAGACTTTTCCAACCTTAATGATTCTATGATTCTAAAATTTCTGAGCACCCTTGTTGAGCTTGGTGTGTGTCCTCCAGGTCATCACTGAATTTACTCTGCAAGTGCAACATTTTCTTTTGTAGAAGCCACCCAACCACCACCCAACTGTCCAGCCCCCCAAACTGTGACTGAGGACATAGTGTGAGCTCCATGTGTCTTGCTGTTGGGAAGACTGAAGGGGAATAACTCAGATGCTGAGAGGCAGAGTAGCAGGGATGGAGAGGAGGAAGTACATGGCGACACAGGTTTTGGAAGTGTGGGTAACTGTCAGCAAGAAAATATGACGGGAGCAAAGAGAGAAGGACATTAAAAATAATTTTTACTCAAAAAGACACATACAGCTCGCCTGCGAGAGATCTAAAAAAGAGAAAGTGCTCTCCTGGGTATGAATACTGAGCAAGGAAACTGTTTCTTGTTCTGTGAGCCTTACAGTACTTAGGGGAGCCAAATTTCATGTGCATTTGTTTTGTGCACAACAAGATTGCATCAAAGAAGTACTGTTTTTTCCTACTGATTTCCTTCCTCTTGGAAGAAGTCACACTTTGGCTGCTTGCAGTGGGTGACAGTTGTTGCAAATCTCTTTCCTAACTGTTTGTGTCAGTGTGTGCCCGACAACTGATACATGAAAGATGAGGATTCAAATGCTATTTTCAGCATCCATCATCCTCTGATTTTGAGGCAGCAACCATTTACATGCAGAAAACCTGGAATGTTTCCTGTTGGGTCATTTTCTTTACGCACGGCTGTCCCACATGCACAGTGCAGATGGAGCTACCACAGGAATCTGCAAGGTTTGAATTCGCTCTCTCCTCTGCTACTGACCTGCTCAGACCACTTTATCTTTCTAGGACTTATCTACTTCTCTTGTAGTTAAAAAAAGAAATTAGAATTTTTAAAAATAATTTAAATATCTTTAAAGGGGAACATTGTTGCAAAAGCTGGCTTAGGTTACTATTTAATTAAACACAACTCCCAGCTCAACTGCCTTCTCAAAATTACTATTTCCTTCCATGCTAAAATTTCCTGGACTTTATCAGCCTTAAAGATGATTTTTAACTTTCTGTTTAAAGTTTGAACCTGCATCTCATGTATGAAATTGAATAGGTGTTTAGTAAGATTGTGAAGGGGTCAGGGGATGGAAAAAAGAGGATGGGAAAAAGACTTAACCTATCTTCTTTACAAAATTATCATTGCATTCTTATTCTGTGGATGGTGTCTAGTCTGTAAGATTTTCCTTAGATGCAGGACTGTGCTTTTGAAGCAAATCTTCCAATTGTCTTCACTTCCATTGTTTTGATTGATATCAGGGAGTAGTCATAGGACAAAAATCAATTCCACTTCAGGTGGAAACTAAGCTGCTTCCTGAAGCCTGTGAGAAGAGGCACTCCAGGAGCCAACCTAACACACTCAGTCTACTGGATCAAAGCAGAGATTTTCTTAAGTAAACATTATGAAGGGTTTTTATTTAGGACTTTGGATTCTCAGCACCACTTGCTGTCTTTTACAGAGTTGTGCGTTGCCCTATATAATTTGCTAAAATAGGCATTAGATTCTTGGCACAGAACTTCCCCCAGTGATGCATGCTTTTGCTTTATCTATATCGTGACTTTGAAAATCACATGGCATGCAAAACCAGTTAATTTTGCATGAGCTATGCTAGTCAAATGCAGAGTTGCAACGATCACACATGTATTTGGGAATGTCTCACCCCTACAGTGAACGTCCATTTAAATTGTGAAGGGATTTTGCAGGAATACTCAAACTTTTTAGTATTTATAGAGAGGGATGACTTTCTAACAGAGCACAGTCCGGGCTTTGTGCCTTTTCTTCCTGGGATGTTTTATTTTGGAATGCATTTGTTTTTTTAAGACACTGAAGCACTAGTTTGAAGTCATTATATTGGCACTCTTGTGCTGGTACAGGTTAGATCTTTTTTTGTAAAGAGTCATGGCACCTCTGTATTTGCATAAGCTCCTTCAAATATGGAGAATATTATTTTGTGATGATAGTAGCCAGTGCTTTGCACTCTAACTCTCTATGACCTAACACCATTTCAGATTGGTCAGTCAGTGTGATGTATATCCTGCTTGATACAGGTGATATAAACTGCCCTTCATTCTGCTGCAGTGACCTGGTGATTCCCTGAGTGCAGCAGAGCTCGGCGCCCTGCTGTAGTTCCTGGTCCTGAATGCTTGTTCATGCCCATACATTTTCCATGTTCCCCTTGCTCTTCCACTCCCACTGGCACCAGGACTGCTGGTTTTGGACAATGCTTTTTCACAATGGGTCAGGAAAATATTGTAGCTTCTAACCTTTGTCCTTGCAAAGCCCAATCAGCTCTTCAGTTCTCAACACAGCCTGTGAACAGTGCTGTCAGCACAACAGGGACTGGATCTTATGATGTGGCTGGAACACCTTAAACTCCAAATAACCTTGAACAAATGTCACATTGAGACACAGTTTGAGAATCTAGGCTTAAGATTTCCCTTATAGGAAAGAGGAATTTCTTACAGGCTCTTAACTGCTGATTTTGCAAAGGGAGTCTATAGATTTCCAGTGGATTTCCCTTCTGTGCAATTCTGCCAGCAACCGGAGCACTTGGGTGCACACATGAGTGCTCAAACAGTCTCAGAATCTGGAATGTGGTCACACAGCTTGACATTGTTAACAAGTCATTGGAGCTCAAAAGGCCTAATTTTTAAGCTTCTTTCTCTGAGTGTGTGTATATACACACATAAATATTTCATTATAAAAAGGTCAAGGAAATGCCATGATGAAGCTGTTCTTACAGATCGCTAAGGCTGCGGGGTTAAATACAGGGAAATGAAACTCACAATGTCAAACATACTGCAAGTACCCAATGGCAGAAATATATGGCTCAGGTGAAAATTGTGTGGCCCTAGATGTTTCCCTCCTGAACAGACTTCCCATAGAGATTAAAGAGGAAATTATGTATATAGGTTCTCTGTTATCTTGTAACAGAGCACTCAGAAAAAGCTGGGGAAAGAGTTGCCAATTTCTTCCACAGAGCAGAGTGGGATAAATAAAGCTCCTTTCCAGCAATTGTCTCCTGTGCTACCACGTTGCCGACTACAGGCACACCATCTGACTGATATGCCATGGCCTTCTCAAAAGTCTAAGTATCAAAGCCATTTATGTGGATTTTGATATTTTCCTATTTTTCTATGATCCTAGATGAATCAAAAAGTGACAATTTTTTATTCATAAGTCACAAATAGAATTAATTTTCTTCTTCAAGTTGACAAGCCTTCCCGAAGAGGTCTCACTATGCTCAAATTTTCTCAAAGACAGAGGGCATTCAGAGTTGAAGTTTGTACAAGACCTAAGGGAGTTGGTAAAGTATAGAAAGAGATATAGGGTGTTGCAAATGGCTTGAATAACAACATCCCCCAGGTTGCTTCAAATTGCATGAATGCCATGGAGAAGAATGAGAGGATCTCACGGTGCTAATACAGAAACTTCTGGACTTGGAAGGCCACTGAGGTTGTCGCCAAAATGTACCTGAAACTGAAAGTGGTTTCAGTTCCTTGCCTTAAAAGA